TCATGCTTGCAGTATGTTAAATTATATTCGAAATGCAAAACGAGTTTCGTATTTAATAGTAAATATTTAACAACAGTTTTTCTTCTCTGCATATGTAGTTAATAGTATGTTAAGTATAAAAGGATAATTATTTCCCCCTTTCCAAGTAATGATTTTATATGGGAGAAAAATTCTTTATTTATTATATTTTGCACTTACTTTTATTAAATAAATAGCAAAGTTCGTGTTTGCATGGAAAAAGTCATAAACCTCACTCATCTGTAGTCTTACATTTTCTTATTTTGTATAGAATAAAAGGCAGACGTAGGAAATTTATTAGTCTGCTGGAGTTGATTTTAATTACTTTTAGAGAATATAACTTTAATTAGTTTTACGAAATAGCTGTACAGAATATGCAGCAAGATTTATCCGTCTTAAAATATTATAACGTATTTTTATGAAACATTTCTTTATTTTTACTTTTATGAATTTCATTTTTTCAGAGTATTTTCAAAAGTCTTTCTGAACCTAAAATATAGTAATAGCAATAAGAAAAAGAATATATTATCCTTATGAAACCTATGAAGGAATGAACTTGAATATCATTCTGTAATTTTTACATATTGCGTAAAATAAGTAATGAAAATTTTATAGAAATTCATGAACATTTCTGGCGAAAATATTAAAAACGTGAAAGTTATATATCTGTATTTAATATTTTCTAGCCTAACGAGAAAAAATAGACTCTCATTCTTGGAACGCATGTTTTTCTTTCCTCCCAATCTCTCAAAATTTACATGCATGTAAATGTATGCTGATATGGACATCAATTACTTCATACCCAAGGAAGGAAAGAATTTCTTAACAGCTATGCCATCTTTACTTTTCATTCTATTTTAAATACCAAATTTTTGCGCGTTTTATGAAATCTTCTATTTCTTGTTTCTTTTATTTCTTTGAATGTTCCAGCAAAATATTAGTAGAATAGAGCAGAAATGCATTTTTTCCGCGAAACACCTATTTACCATATATGCAGCAAAACATTTTACTAAATTTAAAATCGATGATATTCATAGATTTTTTACCTAAAATTTTCCTTTTATTTTGCGTGCTTGTTATCGATAAATATATTTGAATGCATATTTTAACTTTTCGTACTAGAATTTTCGTTTCGGTGTCTGTTACCTGTAGTGTTCGGCCTTTATTTTGCACACGACTCTTCTTCGAATGTATTGCGCCTTTGTTGAAAGAGATTTGTTTTCAGAGATTGCTAAATTAAACGTAAAAATAAAGTTAATAAAACCAAAAACTTAATTTATTGTATCTAGAAATACTACAGCTAATTTCAGAGCAAAAAATCATAAAATGGCTTCATGCATAATTGCACTGAAGAGGATAATTTAAAAGTTGTAAAGTGTGCTTCTTTGATAAAAAAGTAAATGTTTCGTTTAAAAATACGATATATTAAGAAATTAAATACACGTATGAGTAATATACCTAATAAAACTATGTAATCATTTGTTTACGACCCAATAAACTTCAAGAAAATTAATTTAACCTTTTAAATTTGACGTCAGATGTAAATATTTTGATTTTCGCAGAAAGGTACAATACAAAAAAATAAATTAAGCATTTTAAGTATCATACTACGGCATAAAGCTAAACAATAATTTTTCTTTAAAAAAAAAAACGTGATTAAAGAACACCTATTTTCTGTTTCAAAGTAACAATTTTATAAAGGAAAAAATACCTTTTATTTGTTATAGTTTGAATTTAGTTTTATTAAATAAATAGCAAAGTTCGGGTTTCCGTGAAAAAATTCATAAACCTTACTCATCTCTGGTCTTATTTTTCCTTGCTTTAAAACTAAATATATAAAATTAATTATATGGTAATGTGATGTAATATACTAGTGTTTTGCAACCCTCCTGGCTGATAATAATCGGCCTCATTTTAACGTAGCACACCCAACGCAGACAAACAAAAATACAGTTAAAAGATTAAAACAAAAGATTAAAACACAGATTAAAACAGAAATACAGAAAAAAACATCAAACCAAAATTCCCAGTATTGCTCTATTGCCATTTATAAAGTCCATCCCTTGCAAATCTAAACTCTTTATTGCTGCAGTAGAATTCCTTTGCATTACCACGTTTTTCCCTAACATGTCGCAATAATATGCAGCCTTCAACTAAATGTCGTGCATTGCCTTCAGCACTGCAAAAACTACAAAGACCATTATTTTGGAAATTAAATCTATTCAGGTACGCCGGCAAGAGCCATGCCCAGTAATTATTTGATTGTAATCAATATCACATATCATTCTCATATTTTTAGAAACTTCAAAGTTCAACAAAAAACCTTTCCTTTTTTACAAAATGTTCCTTTTTTTCCCCAGAAAACATAAGAAAAATCCTGGCTTTTACCAATAAGTATTCTTTTTCATGCATGAATATCGAAAGCATGCTCGGCATTACCCATAGCAGCCTCTTTGGCCAGCACGTCGGCCCTCTCATTGCTTATAACACCAGTATGGGCTTTCAGCCAGTTCATTTCCATGTCATGCTGTAGAGACATCATTAGGTTTTTTTTTTTTTTTTTTTTTCCTTAAAAAAAAAAAGCAGGAAAGATGAAAAATAGCGACGCCTTTGACTCAGCTGAGAAATTGCCTTTATAATACATCAGAATTGAGTTAGTTCTTTTGTAAATATTATTAATTATATGATATACAAGTACTGTATTTATTTATAATTGTTAATGTATGGTACTATAATTGTTAATATATGGTAGTATATTTATTAATTATATGGTTTATAAGTACAAAATTTGGACAAGAACGTTAACTAGGTGTTACAAGAAAATTAATTATATTCTACAAAAGTATTATATAATTGCCCTAAGTATTATAATCTTTGAGATAAAACTAAATAAATACTGATATTTAACAAAGAAATAAATGCCAAATTATCTTAATGTCTTTTTTAAATCTTAAGCTGCTCATGTAAGATAAATAGGTTTTTAAAATAGCATTTTAAATTAGCAGGCTTTAGATTATTATTGGTTTAGTATGGTAAGTTTTCTAACATAAATATAGCAAAATCCGCGACGGTTACCAACTTAAAGGAAGGAATATCTTCGTGGAAAATTTCTTAGCGGACAGAACATGGTGTATATTTATTAGATACACATACAAGGTAACTGAAATTTAATTAACTTGCTTTTGCAAATTTTGTTAACTTTATTAAAACCATGATTTATACATGGGCTAAAAACTGAAGCTTCAGCAAATTTTAAGACCATCATAAAAGACGAAATATTTCATTAACAATTTAATTTCTAAGAATATTTTATAAATATCGAACAAAACAAACTCTATATATTGATCAAAGATATAAATGTGTTAAAAAATTTAATAAATTAAATGAAACTCAAAAAAACTCTCTGTTTTAAAAAATAGGTAGCACTTTAAGGAAATAAATTGGAAAATGTAAAAATAATTAGCCATCAATGAAGCGGTTGCAGTTTAAAGTCAATGAAAGCTGTCCTTCCGAGGTAATATACTCAGAGAAAACGAGAATTATTGAAAATTTAGTTATTGTTTGCTGTGGAGATATTCACGACTTTATCAGCATCCAATCCAGAAAACATCGTTGTGAACATGTATATATGTTTGGAAAACATTTCTAGCGTTCCAACAACATCTTTAGATAAAGTTGCATCGTTCTGCAAAATATTGCATCGCTTTGGTATTTATTATTCTCAAATACGGTGCAGTAATTCTGTTTTATTTGTATAGTGACTCAGTTAGTTTTAACCCTTTGAGCGGTCAGGGGTTTCTCTAAGAAAGCACAAATTTCTCAAAACTACTATGAGAACAAATATTTTTTTTTTTGGATTTTAATGTAAAAACTCTCCTATACCTGGATTTGTGTATCGCCTTTTGATATATCGCCTTAATTTCTTTGACATATTTTAATATGCACGTATATATACGTTCTTACAGATATCGCAAAAAATATTCTAGGCCCTATATATACAGCCTTACCGCTTAGAGGATTTTAAAAACGAAAAAATGCATTTCCAGTTTCGTTATTAACAGCCTGTAATGAGCATTTATAAGGACCTTTCTTAACTAAGATCATATATTTTCCTGATTGTTATTAATGTAATATTCCTTATTATAATCATTATCACATTTCTTCGAGTCTAAAGGCGTGCCTTTTTTCCCTTCGTAAACTTTGCTAAGACCCAGATGTATCTTGGAAACGATACTCCATCAGATTTGCAGACTGCTTCGAACAATTTAGTATTCTAATATAATAACAGGTTTCATAATTAACATTTAATTATGAATATTATCGTCTAGAAATCGAAATAGATTATTTAAAAATACTTGCTAGATGAACTTTAGCTTCTGATCTCGAAGAATCATACACATCTTCTTCAAAAATGAAAACATTTCTCTGTATGTATGGTATTTATGTTTGATAGCCTTCGAAGTCGATAAGTTTTTGTTTTAAATATACGTCAATTTAAGCTTTCTAACAGAAAGTTTCAATTATTTATGTTTGATCGCCTTCGAAGTCGATAAGTTTTTGTTTTAAATATACGTCAATTTAAGCTTTTTAACAGAACTTTTCAATCTAATCAATTTCAATCAATCAAAGAGAAAGTATTCTAATTCCTCTCTATAATTCAAACTCGATCTTTTAATACGTCATAAAAGCAGAAATTTTGAAAATACACAAAGTTTAGTTTAATGGTTTCAAGTGAAAAGATTTGATTTATCTTGAGAAATTATATTTCGAATCTATGCATGTCTATCGAATGATTCGAAGGTCTATATTTCCTATGAAGATAGGCTGTATCAGATGGTCAATACATAAAGATTATTTTGCTGTCTAGCATTTTCGAAAAATTAAGGAAATAAAATTTCACCTTCAGAGACTATTTAATTAATTACAGGTAATTACTGAAAATAGTTGTATGTTTCTAAACAGAAACTTTTGTCATTCTTTAGGTCGACTTGAAGCACAAGCATCAGACTGAAGAAGAACCTGAAATACCCATGGGAATTGATCTCAGCGAATTCTACCTCAGTGTAGAGTGGGACATAATGGCTGTTCCTGCGAGGAGGAAGGAGCGCTTCTACAGCTGCTGTGAAGAACCATACCCCGACATAACATATAACATCACAATTCGGCGTAAAACTCTGTTTTATACCGTAAATCTCATCATTCCTTGTGTCGCTATTTCTTTCCTCTCCATTTTAGTTTTCTACTTACCTTCGGATAGCGGAGAGAAAGTATCATTGTCCATATCTATCATGCTGTCTTTGGGAGTCTTCTTCCTGCTCCTTTCGGAAATTATCCCACCAACCTCTCTGACGGTTCCCTTGTTGGGCAAGTACCTTTTGTTCACCATGATCCTGGTATCATTCTCGGTGATAGTGACCATTGCGGTACTCAACGTAAACTTCCGTTCACCTTCCACCCACAAAATGGCACCCTGGGTACGTAAAGTCTTCCTTGAAGTATTGCCCAAGTTTCTGTTCATGAAACGACCAGATGACAATCACGATTCTTCGGACTCTTCGGACACGAAACCGGGTATCCTGAAGACGTTCGATGGCGTGGATATTAGCGATACAATCCCTGGGACCATCTTGAGCAGAGAACGTGTTGTAGCCGGAGAAGTAGAGTGCTCCTTCATAGAAGGGCACAGTTCAAGTCATCAGCTGCAGGATTCCTCGACCCAGGAACGTCACGAGAAGGAAGAAGTGGAAAGAGCTGTTCTCAATGTTCACTTCGTCGCTCAGCATATGGAGAATTTAGATTCTTATTCAGAGGTAAGCCTAGCGCCTTGTTAAGCATATGGTTTAAAATTTTTCACGTAATTGTAAAATTAATTTAACTGATTGTTCAGAAATTCAAATTTCAATCTTAGTTGAAAATATTGTAGATTACATGAGCAGGTTTTTCAGCAAAATTTTAGCTGCGACAAGTCTACTTAAATTTATCTATGTGGATGTAGGAATATCTACTGAAATATCTTGTGAAAAGAATCTGTCAAATAGTAGAATCACCGATAAAAAATCAAATCATATTAAAGATTTAACTGGCTCAATAAACGGGAAAAACATTTTACTAGAAACTTGAATGCTATATTTGTTGTGAGAACAGCTGAAAATTCCTGCAAGGGCTGTCGACATAACGTGTGTCACCTATAAAAAGAGAAAATTATATTGAATATAAAACCGATCTATTTAAATGAATAAAATTTGATTAGTAGTGTAGCCAAATGTCGCAGATACACTATATATATTAGAAGGTTAGGTTATTAAACACTTCTGGCTCAAACCGAAAAATGGTTATATTATACTACATAATGTTAGACATAACTATAAATTAGAATTTTAGGTTAGTAAAAATTACTTGCGCAAAACAAAAAAATGGCTCTATTTTACTACATAATATTCGATATATACTATAAATTAGAATTTTAGGTTAGTAAAAAAATACTTGCGCAAAACAAAAAATGGCTGCATTATAACTATATAATATTACAGATATACCATATAGTACTAGATGGTTAGATTAGTGGAAACTATATGGTATATCTGTAAACATAATATAAGAGATATACTTTATATTAGAAGGGAATTAGGTTAGTAAAGTCACTGACGCAAAACAAAAATGGTTATATTGTACAATATCTTGCAAAAATTCGCAAAAGCTGATATTAAGAATTATAGCAATAGACCGAATCAGATTATTATAAATATTAAATAGGTCACAGTGACTCATATTGACAATTCATGAAGAGAAACATTATTTTATTCCGTTTAAGGAAGTGACGGGAATGGTATATTTCTTAGAAGTAATGTTAACTCGCAATACTTCTAACAAATACTTCTAAACAAACATATCCATCAATAGGGCTGTCCTCTTGAGCTAACTAGTGTGTTCGCTGTACTGGTGATAGGATTTTATAGATAGGATTTATTCAACTCAATAAAACTAGAGATAGGATTTTATTCAACACAGTAAAATAATTCGTAGATTATATATGTTTCAAATAAAATAATTCACTTGTTTCACAAGATTAAGAAATCATCATTCCAGTCCTTTATATGTATTATAAATGCAAAATGGGGCATTTCAAAGAAAATACGAAAAATTTACTTTTCGTTTTCAATAAACTGCTCAGTTACTTAAAATAGAAAAAATGTTTCTTTTTATTTCCAACTAAAGAAATACTACAAATCATCTACTATTTTCATCTCAGTAGAATGAATTGACACTGAGCTTATAGTAAAATTATTTCCGTTCGAACTCAAAATAATTAATAGTGTCACCATAGAAAAAATTTTATTCCAGAAAAATTGAAGATTTTGGTATAAATATGTAAGATAAAAATATATGAATCAGAAATATAATATAACTATAAACACTAATTCTTCCTCTCTATTCTAAAATCGTAATAACTTCTCTTTCAGGAACCGTGTTATAATTAATAGCAGGTAATTGTGGATATCGAATTGGCCGATACGCATACTGTAGAGGTCGGTATTGCACTTGTTGATAATTAAAAGGTCTCACACTAACTTTGATAAGGAGTGGCTTGCACTGGTCTGGGATAATAGCATCTCGGAACAGTTTGCCTTGGAGAAACAAATTGGTAATTACTATTTCCTAGACCATCCAACGGCATCTGAACTGGAAACAGTTTCCTAGCAAGAGTAATCCAGTCTTTCGGTGTGTCTATTTTTTGCACTGTTAACAGCATTCTTTGAGACTCAGGAAGTCCTTCCGTAAGTGCTTCCACCATTGTGGAATCTGTTAGTTTCAAGCTGGCTCCTAATTTCAACTTATTACGAAAATAAACATCAATATTATTAAATTTCTCGTATTTTAAAGACACAAAATCACTAAAAGTAACAGATTCCGATGTTGTGAAGTATGTCTCGAAAATATCCTTTATGTTGTTCCAGTCTTTATCTAAACAATCACGTAAATAGAGGGCTAAAGCCTCTCCTCTAATACACTCTGAGAAAACAAATTTCTTTTCCTTTTCTGGAATGTTCTTTGCGGCACATTTCTCTTCAAACAATAGAAGATATTTGTCTATTGGAAAATTTGTACTTGTGCCATCAAAAATAGGGAATTGAAATTTCACTGTATCCACAATAGCTACGGATTCTTGCTTATCAGTTGACATTTTTGCCGTTTTTGAGCGTGTTAGCATTCCAATCACAAAATCTTGAATTTAAGAGTTCGCATACACATCAATTTGAACACTAAAATCAATCACTTTAGAAGCACTTGATAAAACGCATAACTTTGGGGACGAGGGAAAGCACTTAAGAATCGCCGGAAAAGAAGCAAAAGCATCAGACGATCACACACTGTCCTTGACCCACTGTTGAATTTAGAAGCGCGTTATAAATAAATCCAGGAGCTTTTTTCCCACGTAGAGGATAAATCCTACCGGCTAATTAATAACTGTAATGTTTTCAGTTATTCCAACACATCGTGGGCGAATGGTGAGGCTATTCCATTACACGTTCTGGCAGATGGTTGACGAAGCTGGGATGATTGAAAAATGGACTCACGGAGAAAAATGACGACTCAGGACTTTTCACTTTTAACAGCAAGCATATCTTTATTTTAATTTATAGCAGATGACTTTTTCCAGATGAAGTTAATCAAATAACTTATTCAGTAATTGAACTATTAGATACGACTGACTTTAAACTTTAATACGTCATAACGTTCTAACAAAGAAAGAGGAGCATAGCGGAAGCGTTAGCAGGACGAAGGCGAGAAGGCATCTGTGTAGGAGAACTTATGACGCAGCATTTATATGAAAGGTTATGTAACAGAGTAGCTTCTAGAAAAATGTAGAAAAACTTATGACGCAGCATTTATATGAGGAGGTTATGTAATAGGCGCGAATGTTCTAGAAGGTACTGGGTTAGGGGACGATCCTGAATTGCAGAAAATTAATTAAAGGTTGCTGGTTCGCAAAGAGCAAAGCCATCGTATTTTTTTTTATATTATTTTAAAAACCCGACGATTTTTACAAACTGGATTCTGCTAATTGGGTCGGAATCGAATAGAAAAAAAATGTTAGTTATTTCAGAAAAGTCCGATTTGGTTAAAATACCAAGTTAGAATAGTGCATATATAAATCTAATTATATCCTAAGTCGCGCTTTTGAGACATGAGAACGCATTGAATTTCGTGAATCGCCCCAGTAGAACGGGAGATATAGCACTGTCCCATTTTTTTTTCTGAGCATTGTACATAAATTAGTATATATATATATATATATATAGATTTGAACTTAATTATACATTAATATTTGAATATATATTAATATTTGTGTATATATATGTCATAATAAAAGCAAAGGAAAAAGTCGGAACACTGTAGATGCGTGATTAGACCCATATTGAAGAAGATTTTGATTGCGTAGTATGCTAGTAATTCTAACTTGGTAATATCAAAAGAACTTGGCAGTCGAGGCAGTTTTAATTCCATTTTTATTTGCAACTGATATTTGTGGCCACAATCACTTGGCACTCTAGTCGTGCCTTTCCACAGAAGATTTACATTTTGATATTGTTGAGATAGAAAGCAAGCCAGCGAAATTACATCTTAGCACAGTAGAGAGCAAAAGCTGAAGTGCGTAGTTATGAAAGATGGAAGAACGGCGAAGAGAAAAGTTTTGGTTTAGAATGGCAGCTTTCAGTTCGCAATTATTACGTCATCAGAGTTGCGCGGGCCATACAGTGATCTAGAAATGACGAAATGCAGAGAAGTTATTACGATTTTAGAATAGAGAGGAAGAATTAATGTTTATAGTTATATTATAATTCTGATTCATAATTTTATCTTACATATATATATATATATATATATATTATATAAACAAATTTAAATTCTAAACAAAATACGTATAAAAGTAAAAAGTAGAAAAGCAAATTTAAATTCTAAAAAAAGGAAAAAAGCCAAAATAATTTAAAAATATGCAAACAAGTAAAAGATTTAATTCATATATATATATATATATATATATATATATTTGTATATATATTAATATTTGTATATATATTAATATTTGAATTATATATATTTGGATTTTATGAATAATTTATATATATATATTCAAAACAGAGGAGAAACACGCCAAGTGAAACCTAAAATTAGTAACACAACAATCTTGAGTTTGGCGTAGATTAATTCAAGATCTCAACCGATTTCGACGGCAAAAAACTACAGGTCCCTTTTCACCAGAAGCAGAGAAATGAAGTAATCAAAAGCAAAGTCTATATGTATATTATTTAAGCAGTGTTATTTTATAAATGAAACATGCAATAGTAATATTTACACAGGTGACACTTTAGAAGTATTAAAAAGCATAAAACAAACTGCAATATCCTCTTTCAAGTAAACAAATTTTGTATTGTAACTGTTAATTTGATCCTAGAGGTGGATGGGTTTAAAGAAAAAGGCTGTTCTGTAGCAAAATCTTCCTTCTCCGTTGAGGAAAGTCGGTGTCGACTGATTTGCAATGTTGATGATATTGTGATCAGCATCTGACAAACAAATATATCTAGAGTAAATCCTGAGGTTATAAGCTTCTTATCCGCAGCTCCAGTCTGCACTTCTTCCTCATCCGTCACTATGTTGTTCCCAAGTAGCACATGACGTAGCAAAGACGTTACCACGACCACTTTGCAACCTCTCGGAGCAGTTTGCAACGTCTTTACTACGTCATGTGCTACTTGGGTTCTGTAGCTATATGTCGTCTTGAATTTTTTTGAACCATCAGCAATAGTTTTAAATGCACTCTTCGAGTCCG